CACCCCTACCATTTATGCTGCAAAGGAAAAGCAGCCCCAAACAGATGTGCCCCCTTTACTCAGGACCATGGGATCTGGGCTGACACCTCTCAATTCCACACCTAACAACCTGTGTCTTTTCAGAAAGAAAATCTGAAGATGTGATCGTCCACGGAGGCCTCTCCCGCCCGAGATCTCATTTGCTCACCTGGACAATCTTAGCAATGCATTTAATTGGTTCTTTGAAGATTCCCGGGTTTCCAGAGCCAACCTGTTCAAACAAAATAGCCCCAGGAAGGGACAGGACCTTGAACTTTTATTGGCTCACACCATGGCAGTAGTTGGCACCTAGCTGAGAGTCAGGCCCTGAGAAGAGGGAACAGGACTCGGGGAAGTTGAGAGAGGGGCAGGAGGACAAGCAGGAGAAGGGAGGGGAAGGAAATGGGGCAGCTCTACACCCCAGCCAGCAGCCCACTGCACCGTTTTGCAGAAAGAGGCCATTCCCTGCTCTGCCCACCCACCAGAGAGACCAACCCCACCTCCAAGGCTTAAGGTAGAAAAGTCTAGAAGAAAGAGAGAAGGGACAGGAGAGGTGGGAAGAAAAGGATGGAATAAACCGACCATCAGAGCCTCTTCAATCTTAATTCATTTTATTCTACAAAAACTACTCAATTGAAAGTGGAAAAGCTAACCAAAAAAAAAAAAAAAAAAAAAAAAAGTTTTAATATGTTCTTTCTTCCATAGCAGCAAGCTTTTTCTAACAAGCTTTCTTTAGTGCAAATACTGTAGGCTTATTTTACAGTAAAATAACAAAACAATGGAAAACACCACCAGAAATGCTTCAGAGCAGAGCTACTCCTCAATTTTCAAAGCTATACAAAGATTTTTGAGCTCGTGTGTCCTGCCAGGAGAGGTCTATTTAGTAACCTTCCCAACGGGACCATTTCACCAATACTTACAAAAAGAGAGAGAGAGAGAGAGAGAGAGAGAGAGAAGAAAAAGAAGATTCTCAGAAAGGTAGTTCAATTCCCCCATAGAGCTATAATTGCCTCCAGGATCTTATAGCAGACTTTACTCCACATCATTGACATATCTCAAATACAGATGCACAAAGCCTGGGCTTTTCCACTATATACCAAAATACGATATATACATCTCTCACTGCAGAAAAGACACCCTGATACCTATTCTTTATACAAAGGTGAGTATTTTTTCCTCAACATCAAGTAACCACAAACTAAAATAAATGGAATAAACTTTTAATCATACAGAGAAAATGATTTTTGAGGAATAGGGCAGGATCTTTTCGTTGTATTGTCTTACAATGTAGAACTTTCTTGGTGACCACTGTCCCCAGAGGAATGACCATCCGTCTTTAAAAACAGAACCTTTTTTATACAGTTTATACAACACATGTCACAAATCATTTTAGAAACAAAAAAAAAGCATCATTAGCCTAAATTTCAAAAAAAAAAAAAATGAAGAAAGAGAGGGAGAGAGGAACTGAGTATTTTAATGCTGTTTCTCATCAGGCTTGGTACAACACAAAGATGTAAACATTTTAAATAAATAATAAAATAAATGTCGATTTCTTCTCTCCCTCCCCATCCATCCCCCGCTCAGAATTTGACCCAGCCTTTCCTGAACACATCAGCATTGGAAAATGAAATCCCTCTGTTGACGTATGGCCAAAACACTAGAACCGTGAGAAGATGTCAAATTAGTAGTGGGACAACTGAGTTTCCTTTTTAAAAGCTACAGGAGGCACACTTGGAAATGTATACACACACACACACGAGGGCGCACACACACATACACACACACACACACCCAACCTGTCAATAAATAGTGAGATGCTGGCTTTTTAAATGAATGCCAAGAGGACTCAACAAGCAGAAAGTAGCAAGACCCCTTAAGTTTTAAAAAAGAAAGTTACACACATCACCTATCCTATTGGTCCACAAATTCTATAAGGACTCAGGTTACCCCTCCAACCGTCTGAGGAGTGCAAAGGAGCACATCACGAGGGAGAGGGATAAGAAGTTTGGAGGTGGGAGGATACTGTGGGTGATGGGTCTTTGCGAACAAACCTCAGACTGAAGGCAGTCTTGCCTCAGATCTTTGAAGAAAGACTTTCTCACCTTCAAGTGTTTTTGTTTGTCCATTACATGGAGGCCTCGAATAGGGGATACCCTCATCCCTTAGTCTCATCGTAAAGAGGGTATATTTCTAAAAGTGCCTAACACAGTGCCTGGCACATAGTAGGTGCTTATGCCTTTCCTTCTCAAAGGGGCTGTATGATATCTGATTGGGAAGGAGACCAACTGGAAAGGTAAACGGTAAGATTACAGGAGCACTGTCGGTCCATCAAGGGAACAGGAGAAAAGTTCCAATACCTGTACCACTGAGCCCTCCCTTAGACGCAGAGCCAAGCGGGAGTGGAGAGAAGACTCTTTTCCTCAACGCCTGAGAAAACGAAGCAGTAGCCTCTGAGGGCTCCTGGCTGAGAGGCTTGTGCGACTGGCCTCAGTGGACACACCTGGCCTTTCTCACAGGCAGAACAATGATTTCTTTCTGAAAACTTCCCCCATGAATTCTCTGCTTACAGCTGGCTCCGGCCATTGCCCAAGCAAGCTTCACCTGGGATCTCCTCTCGTTCCTGCGTCAGCAGCTGTCCCCGTCCACTCAGCCGGGAAGGAGAACTGGTCCCAGAGGGGCCAGCCAGGTGGCCGAGAGGACGGTGGGGTTCACACTAGCCTGTCAAGGAGGGCCTGCCCTATGCCGTCCCAGAGCTGCCTGCAGCCCAGCTGGAATCCGCACCAGCTGCCTCATGGCTGGGGACATAGGGGAGGCCCAGCGGTTCCCAGCCCAAGCACAAAGGCACCCCCAACCACAGCTGTTCCTGGAGTGGGAGCTGTGGAGGAGAAAGTGGCAGGCCTGGTGGCTGGTAATCCTGGAGCAAGGGTGTGTGTGCGTGAACTCAGAGAACAAGCCAGAAGAAGTCAGGAGGACCTGCTCATGAGTTAGGGGTGCGTACTCGGCCTTCCCCAAATAACCTCTGGCTTTGGGGGAAGCCAAACCTCGACCTAGAACAAAGCCAGAGGGTCCTGAATGGGACAGCTTAGGAGCTGCTAAAGTCCTATGGGGTGGTGGAGTTCCTGCCTTCCGCTGGTCCCAAAGCCAACACAGCCTGAAATCTGAACCAGAGCCAAGCTCCGTCTCAGGAATGTCCAGCCTGGCCCCGAGTCACAGACTGTGGCCTGCCCTGGTTGGGATCAGTGTTGAGGAAAGTGGGGCACAAAAGGACTTTTAGAAATGAAACACCAAAGCAGCTTCATTTAAGAAATATATATATATATATATATATATATATATATATATATATATATATGCAAAAGCAGCAAATAGCTCCCAATTGGCCACAAATACCGCTTGAGATGATTAAGCTTTTCAGAGCTGAGGGCACCCCCAGTTTTCCCTGCCCACCTCCTGCTGTTCCTGGCTGACTTCTGTTTCTTTGATTAATCTGAAGCCAGAAACTCAACTGCCCAGTCTACTAAGCAGTGCCCCTCCCAGAACCTCTGGGAAACCGGGAGGGCAGCCTCATAGCCAAGGAATGTGGGAAATAACCTTTTTAAAGTATTTTTGGACAAAATCCATTTTCTTTTAATCTCCTCTCTGCGTGACCTAGCCTTTCACACGTCACTTGCAGTCGGAGCGGGCTGGGTATTGCAAGCACCGGGCTGCTCCATCCGGTGTGCTCCCTTCTCGCGCACAGAGGGGGGATGGGCAGTCAGTAAGGACCAGCGCTTGAGGCCTGGGTATGTGAGGGCGGGCAAGTGAGCCAACGTGAAACAGCTTGCTCTCTCGCATGCTCTCTCTCCCTCCCGAGTCTAAAAGTTTAACCCCCACTGGGTTTGATTTAAATAATATCTATATAATTTTAAATTACCATACAATGATCTCTAGAGCGGAATCACAACAGCAGGGTCTCCCCCAGAGCACTAGCCCAGCAGAGGCCCATCCCAGATCAGCCAGAGAGCTAAGCGCTAGGGAGAAAAAGGCTCAGAGGTGTGGGAGGCAGGGAGCAGGAGGCCGGGAGGACTCCCTCCCCACTCCCAGCCCCATAGGAGGGGGGCGCCTCTCCCGTGGTGGGAAGCAACACATCTTATCTCTGATTTCAGCAACTGCCCCCCCACCCCACCGCCCCAGGAATGGCAGGTAAGCCCCAAGCCTTAGCGACAGCTCCGGGCCAGCGTTCACAGCTGGCTGGCTGGACCCGAGGAGCACTCTGGGGGAAGGAATATGTAAAAGAGAAAGCACTCCGTCAGGTAGCAGGTGACCACAAGGTAGAAAAGGCCAGGCAGCTCACCGAGAGGCGAATACCACTCTGCCTCCCTCCTTCCTCCCCTGCCTTTCCATCCACAGCAAAAGTGCCTTGGAGGCTTGGGGAGGGGCCACTGGGCAGCAATCTGGGGAGCGGCCAGGCCCACGCTCATTAAATCTCCGTGGGTGGCGTCACCCTGAGAGCCAGACTGGGGGAGGGCAGAGCCAGTAGGGACTTTGGAGTGATGTGTGGTTCCTAGGGAGGGACGCCTCCCTGGTCTAGAGAGAAGGGTCCAGGGGCAGGATGGCAAGGCAGTAATTATAGGAAACGTCCTGCTCAAGACACCAGGTAAAGGGAAGCTGGCTAGGACACCTTTGTGGCTTGTTGGCACTATTCCTGGCCTGGTAATTAGGCATTTGGCAAACCCAACCTGTGCTCCGTCTGTCTCACTCACACCCTGTCTTCTGGCCAAGCCGATCCTCCAAAGAGTTGTGTCCAAGGATGGGGAAGACGCGTCCTCCGAGCCTCCCAGTGATGGCAGCATCTCCCCCAGAGCTCAGGGAGCCCTGCTGGTGGTCCTGGAGATGGCGGTGGACCGGGGGGTGTCAAGGGAGGGAAGGTTCTGTATTGCACATTGACTGTCCCCTTCTGGAAAGTCAGCCCCAGCAGAAGAGTCAGTCACCTGCTGCCCATCTCCAGAAACGAAGAGCTTTAATATTCAGACCACCCAGATGAAATGTCATGGCAAATTTGATAAAAACCAAGAGGAAGTGAAATTGACACTGGGGGGAGGAAGAGGTGAATAGAGGAAAGGTGAAACCAAAAGGCACTGAGCATGCTGGGTGGGGCGGGGAAGGACACCATCACTCCAGAGACGTAGCATTAACAAAGGGACAGGAACGGTCCACACCAGCCGCAGGCTCTTCAGAAGCCGGAGAGATGCCTGAGTCCACCAAACCGAGTTTTCCAAGGCTTTTCAAGAAACAGGATTTGCTTTGCAAGATGAACAAGGGAGGAGGTCCCATGACTTCTAAGAGATCGCTGAAGTCCTCCAGCAAAATCCCACCTAGGTCTCCCCAGAGCCGGGCAGCTCTCTGGCAGGGTCCCCCTCTTGCCCTCACGGCCCTGGAGCACTTGAAGGTGCTGGTCCCTGGGAAGGAGGCAGTGATGAGGACCCCCCGGGAGCTGGGTTACAGAGCCAGCAGGGTGGGGGAGTTCAAGGAGTCTGATGACTGGTCCCCACTGCTACTGCTTCTGCGGTGAGCCTTGGAGCAGGACTCGGAGGGTGACGCAGGCGACTCCTGCTCCAGGACGGTGGGGTAGGTGAAGACGAGGTTTGACGTGCCTGGAGTGATGGCTGGCGTGGAGGTCACCACGATAGGTGTGTGCAGGGGCTCCTCCCCGTAGAAGCCCCCAGCAATGCTGATGGGCTTGATGACAGAGCGCTGGGCCTTGTCTAGCCCAGCCGATGAGGAGGAGGGGCTGTCCTCTTCCAGGGGCTCCTGCTTCACCACCACAGCACCCACTCCCCCGCCCCCACTGCGCAGGGACGGCAGCCCGGAGGCGGGAGGCGATCGGCGCTCCTCAGGGCTGATCTTGCACACAGGCCCGTGGGCCACCAGCATGAACTCCAGCTTTTCCTTCTCCTTCTGCAGCTCGGCTATCTCTTTCTGCAGGCCTGACTTCTCCTCCTCCAGCTCCTCTGTCTCCTGCAGAGGGAAGAGAGGTGAGTGAGGGGCAGGAATCTGCCAGGGACCTGCTGGGGGGTGGGGGGTGGGGCAGGAGGTTTGAAGCCAGGTGAAAAAGGGAAACCCAGAGCTGTGAAAGCAGCCAGCTCAGGCCCCCCAGCCATAGACCCCACCACTTCTCAAACACCTGGGGGCTCAGGATGCCTTTTAGGTCTCAAACTCCGGTCTGAGAAAGGTGGAAAGTCGGCTTGGAGGAAGGATGAAATGATAATTAGTGGCCACTGATAGAGGGCGAGCGAGCCTCCAGAAGCTTCCTGAAGCAGGTGTTTTCAATCAACTCATTTTGCAGATAAGGAAACCGGTTCAGAGAGGTTTGTTAATTTGCCCAACGTCACAGAGCAAGCAGGTAGGGTAGGCCAGACTTGACCCCAATGTATCCGACTCCAGGGTCCCTATGCTACCATGCCGGGCTGCCTCAGTGCCAGGACTGCCCCCAGTTCCCCGTGGAGGGGGTGGTTACAGTGAGGTCTGGAGGGGACAGGAGCACAGCATGCAGGCCCAGCCCTCTCTCCTCCTCATACTCCCTCAACCTGGTCCAGCCTGCCTGCGGCGGCGTCCACACCAGCCTCTCAGCTGCACACACCAGCTGAGGACGGCACTGGGCAGGCAGGAAGTTCTCCAGCAGTCCCGGCTAAATCGGCACTGCCCCACTTCCCTTTTTTGCTCTAATTTCTGAAGCATGTGATTCAGGACTCACAGAACCCTTGGAGAACATTCCGTTCGGTGCTTTAACAGATGAGGAAGCCCACAGCCAGAGCAGGCTGAGGCCGGCAGGGTCCCATGGCAAGGGGCTCAGGCCCCTCCCCTGACACAAAGCCAGAGAGAAGCCACAAAAGCCCACGGGGAGGCGGGGGTGGGGAGCGGGTGCGAAAGACGAAAAGGTGTGTGTCACGGGCCTCCTCCCCACTTTTCCCCTAACAGAGTCCTGTTCCAGAATGAGATGGTATGGGCCAGAGCCTCACGGAGCAGAGAACAGCATATTCCACGGTGAAAAAAAGTTTCCATCTGTCTCAAGGGTCTGACGAACGTCATGAGCTTATGAGAGGTTTCCTGTGGAGGATGTGGCTCAGGGGCCTGGGTGGCTGGGGCGGGTGGGGTGGCGGGGGAGTAGGGTGTGAGGCTTCTGGGGGAGGGAGGGGAGGAAAGCAGCGGGCCCCGGAGGAAAGGCTATTCTGGGGCTAGTGATGGGGAGCACCCAGGGTAGACTCAGAGGACCTGCCCCCTTAGAAAGTTAGTGGTGGGGAGGACTCCCTCGGGGGGAGTCTACCCGGGGAGCACTGATCACTAAGGAATCTTTTCACGTAGCATGGGAGAGCTCCCGCTTGTCCTCCCCACGCTCGCACACACACCTCCACCCGACATCCCTGCCGTCTACTGGGAATTCACATGAACACGTTCCGTCCCCAAGAGCCAGGGCTCCAGGATGGATGAAGGGAAGCTGGCGCAGAGGGATGGTACCGGGAGCATTAAGTCAAGTCACGGGATGGGCAAGGTGATGGACTTCCAAAGCCGCTCCCTGGCCGGTCACGGTAAAAACCGCCAACAGTCTCTCGTCTGCTCACTTTGAAAACATTCCACCAGGGACAGTCAGTCCTGGCTTTAGGCTTCCTCCCCGAGCCATTCGGCCCATCCTGTATGGCTAGGCTCTGGAGGGCGTTACGTGATGTTGGTCAGGTCAGGCTTTTGAGAGGGAAGGGCAGGGCCACAGCCCCCAGGTGTGGGCAATTAGGCAGCAGGGGAGAGTGACTCACAAGGGCAGAGGGAGCTACCAAGACGGCAGCTTCCGGCTCACGGCAGAGGTGGGGAACCCTTCTGCCACGAAGGGTATGAGAAAACCCCAGGAGAGTGCAACTCCGCTAGCACGTGACCGTGTCCATGAGACCCAGAGAGCTTCAAAACCCCTGCTGAGCTGAAAGGGGCAGGTCCCCCCCTGCCCAAACTAGCTCCCTTAAGCTAGCCCGGGCCACTCTGGCGGGTGGTAGGCACGGGGGCGGCTGGAACCTTGGGAAACAGCCCTGGAGGGGGCAGGTCTGGGCCCGCGCTGGCTCCCTCTGGAATCCCTCACCCAGGGGCCCCAGAAGGTTCAAGAGCAGGGAATGCTCAGAGGCTGAATGAGAGAGGGTTCGAGGCCCCAGCAGGCTGTTCGGGTCCCTCCTGGGGCCCAGCCTGGTGCCGAAGGCCAGCTCCCTCCCTCCCTCTCTCTCCTTCCATCAGGGCAATGCTAAACCTGTGTGCTCAAAGGACCCTTTCTATCTGCACTGGCTCATCTCTAGGCCACTAGAGGACGAGAAGAGGATGGGAGGCCAGGAGTCCCGAGGCCCTTGCTCTCGCCCCGCTGGAAGTGCCCCCGCCCCACACAGGGCTCCTCACCGCCTGCAGCTTCTCCGTCAGCTCCCTGCGGCGGTTTCGGCACTTGGCCGCAGCCAGCTTGTTCCTCTCCCTCCGGATTCGGCGTTTCTCCTCCTCTTCAGGCGACAGCTAGAGGCCAAGGTCAAGGACTGTGATTAGGTTTGGGTCCATGATTCAGCAGCTTTGCTTTCTCGCTGTATTTTAAGAAACACTTCTGAGGGGCACCTGGATGCCACACTGGTTGAGTGTCTGACTCTCAGATTCGGCTCAGGTCAGGATCTCGGGGTCATGAGATCAAGCCCTACATCAGGCTCCACGCTTAGCACTGAGTCCACGTGGCACTCTCTCTCCCTCTCCCACTCCTGTTAGCGCACGCGCTCTCTCTCTCTCTCTCTCTCTCAAATAAATAAATAAATCTTTAAAGAAAGAAGGAAAGAAGCCCTTCTGGGACTGTGTGTTCAAGGAGGGAGAAAGGCGAGAAGAGTGTGGCTGGGCTCGGCAGTCCCAGAATCGGCAGCTCACTGCTGGGATCCCCAGGGAGGGCCCTGAGAGCTGGACCCAGCCTGGAAGGTGACATCCCATGTCTGAGGGGAGACCAAGGCACCGACGTGTCAGGGACTCATCAGCCTAGGCAAGATGATAGCTTTTGTCACGTCAGCCCTGATCCCTGGCCAAGGCCAGAGAGAAGAAGCAGCTGGGGCCACGTCCCCAGAGTCCCCTCATGCCAGCCAGGCCTGGCCCCACCCACTTAAACAGCTTCTTCCAAAGCCTGGCTAATTACTCCTCCCCACCGATCTGCCAGCTCGGCAAGCCTCATTATCCCCATTTGGTTAAGTAGCTAGGCCCAGAGTAAGAACCACCCTGGGGGGAATGTACTATGGCCAGGGGGTAGGCCAAGGATGCCTCTCCCAACGTCCTCTCCCCACCCCAGAGGGCCAGCTGGCCACCATTCAACCCAGAGGACTCAAGAGTGCGCCCAGCACAAGGCTAGGCTGGACAGGACAGGCAAAAGGAAAAGGAACCCTCAGGCACGTTCGGTCCTGCTACCCACCATGTCCATTCATTCAACCAACAAGAAAGTTCTTCAAGGTGCCAGGCATGGTTTCAGGGGTTCAAGATTTATCGGAGAACCACATGAACTAAGACACCCGCGCAGAGCTGACAGTCTAGCTCCTCACAGGGAGGCTGGTTAGGGGCCCGTGACTCATGCCCCAGGGCAAGACCTTTGCTCTGAGACTCAAAGTCCAAGCTCTGTTTACATATAGCCCTTCCTGTGACCCCAGTGCCCCTGGCACACAGAGGTGACACAAGGCCATGGGCCAAGGCAGAAAGTAATTCCAAAAGAAAGGCCATCCCATGCTGTTTGCAGACAATGATGGCGTCCCTACCATGTGCCAAGTACACACATAGTCCAGGGGGCTTAGAAGATTCTATGGGGTATAAGATTTGGATCCCACCCTCAAGGGACAACGTGGGGGAAAAGCCAAAGCCACTTTTGGACGTGAGAAGGGCTGCCCCACTGGGAGATGCTGCCTCCACTGCCAGGCGCCCCATGAAGAAGGGAGGCACGGCCCTGGCTGGGCCCAGGTCAGAGTCCCCAGGCCTCCCCATAGCCCTGCAGGTCTGTTGTTGTGATGTCCAAAACAGCAGAGCAGGGCACAGCTTTGGAGAGGACAATCCCATCCCTGTCTACACTGAGGAAACCCTGTGGCCCCGACCAAGAGGCCAGAGTCCCACATCGAATTCTCCAAATGCTGGCACGGAAACATGCCAGTCGACGGCTCAGACGTCAAGTCCCTCTGAGGCCTCGGGCCCCCTGAGCACAGAGAAGCTCGTCACACCTTCTCAACTTGCAAATGCACCCCCCCACCCCTAGTAGTCAAGGCATGTGGCCCACAGGGAGGCAGGAAGCCTGGCAGGCTATAGGGAGACCTGCCGGCCTCCTGGTACCTCAGGTCCCTGTCTCCCAGGGCTTTGGCTAAGCTGCGTTCCCACCAAGGCCGACGTGGGCCTCCTTCCCTCCTAGGACATCCTCCCCAGGTTCCTTCACCGCCTCTGAGATCCCACCTCACTGGGGTTAAGAACCAGGCCCAGCTCCCCTCACCCACCAGCTCCACCCCCACTGTGTGCCTTCCCCCTGCAGCGGCCTCCAGGAGCGGCCCACAGAGCCCGCCCAGCTGCTAACACCCCTGTGAGCCCCCTAGGCCCCCGGCAAAGGCCTGCTCTCAGAGTCCCACACTTCATCTCGGCTGCCCCTCCGTCCTCCAGCCCCGGCTTCAGTCCCAGCCTCTGAAACCCTCCACCTCCCCGGGAGAGCCAAAGGCTCCACATTCTCTCTTCTGGGAGGTCTAAGGCGGCCTGGGTGCAGAACACCGACGGGGCCATTCTGTGTGGCCTCGGACAAATCACCCAACCTTCTGAGCCTCAGATTTCCCATTTAGAATATGGATTACTGGGACCTGCCCTGCCTTCCACAAAGTTTCTGGGATGATCAGATGAGATGCAGTGTGAGAGCCCTTTCTAACCTAGAAAGTGCTAGAAGGGAGAAGACTAATTCAGAGGTCTCCTCGCTGACGCTTTTTCAGAGCCCTGTAAGAGTCCAGGTGAACTGGAGATCCAGCGTCCACACACTTGGGTATCCTGCTCTGTGTGGGGACCGGCTGCCCAGCTGAGGTCATGAGGCCACTCGGCTGAGGCCCTGAATCTGTGCTGCTCCCAAACCTGTCTCACCCTGAGCCCAACAGTTACCAAGAGCCGGCTGGGCCCCCTGCAGTCCTGCATTCAGGGTTCACTACTCAAAGGACTACTGGGGCTCCCCTTGAGGCCCAGACAAGCCCCTCATCTGTCACTAATGAGGGCCAGAAAAGGCGCGGAGCCGGTTGCTGCCCCTTTCAGCCTCCCTTCCCCTTTGGGGGCTTCCGGACAATTCTGGCCTTCTGATTGGCCTAGAAGTCTCTCCCCTATCTGTAAGATATGGGGCAGCCTGTGGGAGCTGTCGGCATAGGAAGTGTAGAGGGGTGGTGATACCAACATGGTCACAACTTGAGTGTGTCAGCACCACCGCGGACACACCCACAAGCCACACACCCTCGGCTCCCCGCCTCCTCAGTCGCCGCCACGGGCCTCAGAGGGAGCCTCTGGGCAGGCTCTGAGGAGGGCAGGCAGGCACTGTGCTGGCTCTGGGGAACAGGCTCCTCTCCCTCGGGGGGGGGGGGGGGGGAGAGGTCAAGCAGGCGGAAGTCAGTTCAGAGGAAGACCCCTGGGCTAGGGACGCAAAGAGCCGAGGTTTGAGGATGCTACTGTCCAGACTTCCTCCAAGCTGCTGGCTGATTATCTGAATTCCTGACTGAAGTGGGATAAAATGCTCCTGGCTCTCTCCCTCCCTCTCAGAAAAGGAAGGAAATTCTCCAGACAGATTGTCTTAAGGCACGCCTAGGTGGTATGGTGGGAAAACCACAGGGCTGAAGGTCAGGGGAGGTTGATTCCAGCCCCGGCTCAGCCACTAACTCATAGCATCACCCTCAACAGAACCCTTCTCCTTTCTGGACCTCTGTTTCCTCATCTGTAAAATGGGTACAGAGGGGAAATTGGAAAAGCTAGTCTTCAAAGTCTATTTCAGGTGCAAGCTTCTAAATCAGGTGTGAACTAGGCCCAGAAAAGAATGCAGCGTGTTCAGCATATCTTGCTTTTTTGAAAACCCGCTCTCACTGAAGTCACTTACATAAGTTGGGGAGTGGAATCCAGGTCATCGGGGACTATAAAGCTTGACATCTTGGGCTCCCGAAGGAAGCGTAATTTAAAGGACAGTGCGATCACGGCTACTGCAATGTTTACATCTACAATTTGGAAAGCAACAGCACAGGGGATAGCAGCCACTTGCCCCAGCAGCGCAAGCCCAACAACCATCATGCTTTGCCCTGCGCTGAGCCCTGCCATTAACAGAACAAACCAGCATGTCGGGGAGGCCAAGCCCAGCTTTATCCTCAGAGGAATAGAGATCCTATGAATGCTCCCGGTTCCTCAGAGCAGGGACCCTTGCAGTCCTCAGTATCCTGGGTTGGCACTGGGTCCGTGATTATCCATGGGGGACCATGTGTGAAAGATCCTTGTATGGGAACACTGGGATCCCAGAGCGCGAGTGGACGGTGGTGGACATGGAGAGGAGTGACTTACCAGGTGAATGTTTCATTTGAAAAAAGGATCCCACCACTAAAGTATTTTCCCTTCCCTGGATCCACAGTGAGATGGTATTATAGAAAGAGCACTGTACAGAGAGTCCAGGGAACTGGGTTCTAATCCAGACTTCCCATAGTCTTGCCAAGTGGCCTCAAGCAGGTTTGTCTAGGCTTTGGTTGTATCGTCTGTGAAGGGGAATCCACGGGGCCCTTAGGAGGCTCATCTCCCCTTTTTATGCATGATTCTCATTTCTCTTTTGGGAATCAGGGGGCCCATCACTACCCTGGCTCCCTATTGATAGAGATGGCATGCCTTGGAGGAGTGGTAGATGGTGTCTAGAAGCAGCAACCCACACTGTCTCGTGTCCCTCCCTGCCAGGCAGATGCCTTCTTGAAGCTGAGCCCTTGGAGGGCAAAAAAAGCCGACATCTGACCTGCTATCCCCCCACCCCCCACACATGCTTTCAGTCTCCAAAGACCCCAGAGTCACTGCCCTTCTGGAAGGGGCATTGTAGGTACTTGAAATGGGCTTCTGCTTCAAGTTGGAGGCCTGGGAAGCCGAGGAGGAAAGGCAAGTACTGTGGGCCTGGATGGTGACCCTTCAGGTCTGCTGAGTGTTTCCCCTACACCAGACACCAAGAGACAATGCAGGGCTAACCCCTGCATTGTTTCTGGCTAGGGCTTCATTGGTTGTGTGTCCTGCCATGGATGAGGGAAGGACTCCCCTTCATGCAAGTCCCAACAGTGCTTCCTATCTGCTGAGACCGCATCACACGCAGCGCTGTTTTCCCACACATGGTCTCATTTGCATGGCGACGAGTTCTATGTGATAGGCACCATAATCCCCATTTTGCGCTGAGGGAGTTGAGACTTGGGGAGCCTCAGCGACATGAGCAAGATGACAGAGCCAGGTCGGACTCTCAGGCCTCCAGCTCTGCTTCCCACGAGGAGGGTCATGGGCCCCTGGTCCAGAATTCCCTCTTCTCGGTGCTCCCAGGACACCGACCCAGCTCCCCAGCAGACCACAGAAAAACACTGTGTGTTACCAGGCCCTGAAAGGCCCCCACGTATCTGCTCTCCACTGATTTGAGACGTACCTGCTCGTCTCTCCTCCTGCGGCCCACAGTGGTGCCAATGGTCTTGATCACACCGGGTCTCGGGAGTGCCATGTGCCCAGGGACAGAGGCCAGGCCCGGCAGGGGGCTGTAGGGGTGCGAGCGAGGGTATGGGTTGGACATGGAGGTGATCACCGTGGGCTGCACCATCCACTGCAGGTCCTGGCTGGTCGTGATGGCGTTGATGGTGGGGATGAAGGCGCTGCCTGAGCCAGGCATATCTACCCGGAATTTCTGAAATGAGGAGAGAAAACTGTTGAGCCAGTAAGTATGGAGCAGAAGAGGACGACTTCGAGGTCTCAGCAGGCCCTCCCAGGGGCCTTCAGGGCTAGCTATGCCCACATCTGCAGAGCAGCCCTCCCCCTGGCCTCATGAGCCTCTGGGTCACCTGCCAATTAGTCCCCAGGGTACTGGGGCTGGGGACCCCTTGAGGAGATTTGCAAACCAACAGCTTTGGGGGCAACAATGATCACCAGGAAGCTCATTGTGTCTGCTTTTGTTACTTTCCAAATAGGTGTAAGATGGGGCTGTGACCCCATCCAGGGGGAGGCCAGGTCCATGAAAAGGTGCCCTCCAACTCCTGAGACTGAAAAGTGGTAGCCTTTGTGCCCTTGTCCTCCTCCTGGCCCTCAACCGCCATCTGGCTTGGAGCAGACGCAACGTGTCTCTCTCTACCTACCGACAAACCTATCTGCGTTCGTAGATGTGTCTGTGTGAAACTTGAGTGCTGCTAGCTCAGAGTTTTCTGTCTCTTAATTTATGCCCAGACCATGTTGCAGAACTCTCCGGAATATACTGCAGGAAGCATTCTATTTAAAATATAAGATGATGACAGAGTAGAAACACTAAAATGGGTCACGCTCCTCAGCAGTTGGTCTTGGCCCTTCTTCAGGGCCGACTACTAGAAAGTGAGAGGAGGGAGAAGGGAAAGACCTCCCTGCCCCCATGCCTCCCTGGCTTCCAGCTTTTCAGGAGGAAAGCGCCCCAGTGGGAGCCCTCCTCCTCAGGTGATTCCTTTTTCCACACATAGGTTCTGCAAATCCTTTATTCCCTAACCTGGTAGGTGACATGATGAATATAATAATGTCACTTACTGAGTACTTACTAAGTGATGGGTCACCGTGGTAATTTTTGACCTCAATTATCTGATTAATTCTCCCTCTGAGGTAAGAACTACCATTATCTCCATTTTAGAGGCAGAAATTTAGGCGTAGAGAGATTGAGTAACCTATCCAAGGTCACGCTGCTCCTAAGCAGGGGTGGGTCAGGACTCAAATATGGTTCAGCCTGACAAAGAGGACAGGGCTCTCACACATGGTGCTATACAAGGTTCCGTGCATTGCTTTCTACTTCCTTGAAATCCAGACCCAGGTGCTGGTACCCACCCCTACTGCCCTCAGAGCATCAGCTCATCCCTGCCAAGAGACCCTACAGACCGTCCCTCTCCCTGAAGAGGCCATAGATCTGACCCCAGATAAAATCCTGCTATCGTCACGGGGACTATAGCATCCCCCCTCTCTTGGCCCGGTCAGACCAACCAGAAATAGAAGTATTAGTAGCAAAGCCAGCTGCCTTGTCTCTGTCCCTGGTGACAGATGACACCTGGGTTCCTGTTGTGTAAATAAAGTGGGACTTAGAGCCCCTGACTATAATTGAGGGAGTTGGGGCCCCTTCCTTGCTCGTTCCCCTGCCAGCTGAGTGGCCCCAGTCTGGGTCAGGGGGGATGTCTCTGCCTCACTTCCCAGAATGCCCCAGGGTCCCAGGCCAAGGGCGTTCAGTGAAGAAAGCACAACCCAGCACAGGGGATTTTGGGATTCCACAAGGAGACCCACCGGGGCGAGAAATCCTGGGATTCTGTGAAGCTACCCGCACAATGGATTCTGGAATTCTAGGAGAAGAGCTGCCCAGTACAAAGGATTCTGAGTCATCTTGGAAGGCAAAGACAACTCGGCTTTTATCAGGAGCTGACTGAGCTGGGTGTGTGTGTGTGTGTGTGTGTGTGTGTGTGTATAGGAAGGATGCAGTGAACAAGGAAGAATCCAAGCGGGAAACGATCTTCAAGGAGAAAACGTGGACAACTGAGCTGGGCCTTGAGGAGGCACAGTACTGAAAGCCCGGAAGTGTGGCTGAGTGTGCAGAAGGATAAAGGCCCAGACAGCTCCGTTTCTCTTGGGGGGTTGGATGGGAGGGGGGAGGTGGCAGGAGGCCTGGATTTGAGGCCTTCGCAGAATCACGGAGGACTGTTTCCCTTCTGGGAGGGAGAATCCGAACACAAAACTCACCACACCATCATGAGGATTAAATAAGTAGCTACTTCTAATCACTGGCTATAAAAGCACACCGGTGGTGCTCACCGGTGGCTGCCCATTAGAATATTCTGAGGAGCATTTTCAAAACACCAACGTTGGAGCCGGCCTCGCCATTAGAGCTCTAAAATAACACGTCTGGGGTGGGGCTCTGATAAGGTATTAAAAAAAAAAAAAAATGCCTGAGGAGATTCTAACATGCAGAGCGGGGGTTGAGAAACACTGCGCCAAGCAAATGGAAGGCGGCACCGGCCTCACCATCACCATCACCACCACCATGATGGCGTCTCGTCACTGCGCGTGCGCACTCTGCTTGGGGTGGCTCCAGGAAAAACCGCCAGCGTCCTACTCCCGGGAACCACCCAACATTTTTATTCCATTTCTCTCCCCAAGTCAGGTTCTGGGTCTGAAGAACACCTGAGGCATCCAGCATGAGGGTCACAGAAGGTTCCCTCTGGGAGAGAATGGTCAGCTTTTCTCTCAGGAAACCCTCCAAGAAAATCGCTCCTCATTTCAACAAACAAAAGAGCTCCCTTTTCAGCCTACGGGAAGCAAGCAGAAAACCTGAAGCACATCTGGGAGGCTGAGATCCCTTGGGAATAAGTGGATGATTCTCAGCCCCTCCCCCCCGGGGCGGGGGGCCCTTGGGCCCTCCAGGGCCCTCACTCTGGGTCTCCAGAACGTGCTACCCGGCCTTCAGCCAGATTCCTTGCAGCTATGTCTTGGTCCAGACAAAACAAGACAGCAGTAAAAACAAGGCACTAGGTAATGACTGCCTCTAAGTGCGGGTACAACTTGTTTCAGAGGGAGGTAAAGCCATCTGGATAACACACTGGCTCTAAACCACACAGAAAACAACGTCCCAACCCCAGAGGGGACTGGAGCTGTGATCAAGAGGGCTTGTGTCTCCTCCAGGAGCCTCCCTGAGACGCTCGCACAAGTTTCAAGGAGATCCAGAGATGGGACTTGTCTCCCCTCCAGAGGTATTATCCAGAAAGCTACCCTGAAGTAGGTGAGAAGAGGTGAGGCGAGGAGTCTGTGGTCCCAGGAGTCAGCCGGGCAATCTTCGCCAACAGACCCAGGAATCGGTCAAATACCGTGCTGGGAGTAGTCCCCGTTCTCCGGAAGGGTTATACTAAACATAAATCAAGATAGGATTTCTGGGCTGCGGGCATGAGGGCCGTGTGAGCCCTGCCAAGCACCAGGTGTGTGCTGAGGGGGGATAGAGGAGGTAAGTCTGGACCTCACTTGTGTCCCCTGGGGCTCTCCAGCCCCTGCCCCTTGGAAGCCCCTCCTCCAGGGACAGGACGGAAGATGCTGGATGGCTGGGTGGCCTTCCAGACTGGCAAAGCCCCTAAATGCTTTGACTGTGTCATCCTGCTGACTTCTGGGTGGGCAAGAATGCCTATAAAAGGACAGACTGCCCCCCATGGACCTCCTAGAGCAGAGTGTGACAAACTTTGGCTGTAAAAGGCCACATACTAAATATTTTAGGCTTTGTGGGTCACGCGGTATCTGTCGCAACTATTCAACTCTGCCGGGGACAGTGCGTAAACAAACAGGTGTGCCTGTGTTCCGTGAACTCTTATTTACAAAAATACTGGAACCGTGTTTTGGGGACCCCCCCTTCTAGAGGACCATTCCCTCTCCTAAGTATCAGGGCTAGGGGAAAGAATAAAGAGAGGAAACACGAAAGAAAAAAGACCGACAGAGAGAGAACTTTTCCTTTAACTCAGGGAATCTCATTCACCAGCTTGAAACTCCAAACCAAGAAGCTGAAGTTCAAGCCCTTACAAGCTTTGTTGTGGGTTTGTGGGCCTCCTAAAAGACCCCTCTTTATCCTGAAGCACCCCTATTTAAGGGTGCTGTGGGGCTGTCCAGTCCTGCTCCCAGAATCTCTAAGGAAGACAGATCAGAACACAGTGCCCTACAGTCTCCCAGCTTCACCAGGTCGGAGAAGTCCCTGCAGCCCAGCACTTTCTGATTTGGAAAAATGACCTTCCTGAACTTGACAGCTGGGCCTTGGATTCAGAAATGAGGGTTACAACCATAGCCTTTTGCAGAAGGGTCTAGGAAGTAGGCTTTGGGTTCTCATTTCCTACAGACATGACTGGACCAGGACTTGGGCCAGAAATTCCTGCACTGGGTAGAAATGGCATTTCAGATGCGTGGAGGGTCAGTGTTGTCAGCCCATCCACTCGGCCAGGCATCTCTCCATCACACGACGAGGCTCGACGTGTGCTCGACGGGGCTCCCAAGCACTCAAGCCACGAACCCCAGAAATAACTTGTGACCTGTCTCAGCAGGTAGGCAGGTATGACTATGCATGTCTGGAAAGGGGCTGGCTTCTTTCTCTTAAGGAACCCCCCTTTAAAATATTTATTTATTTATTTATTTCAGAGAGAGAGAGAGAGCGCGCACAAGCAGGGGGAGGGCAAGCAGAGAGACAGGGAGAAGCAGGCTCCCCAGTCGAGCAGGGAGCCCAACGTGGGGCTCCATCCCAGGACCCTGGGATCATGACCAGAGTTGAAGGCAGATGCTTAACTGACCGAGCCACCCAGGTGCCCCTAAAACCCTATTTTTTTTTAAAAATTCACAGCATGGGAAAAGTTCCAAAATTTCTACAGACTGGCTTAGGGGAAGAGAGCAGAAGAGACAACTCCTGCTTCAAACACCCCAGAACACCCCAACTGAGGTCCAGCTTAACTCCAATGTTCTCTGTTTCTATTTCTTCTTTGGAGAAGATTCCAAAGTCTTCTATATGGAATTCAACCCGTCTTCACAGAGTGTGCACTGGACAGCACTTTGACCTTTCCTATCTGAAGAAAGCCACTTGTGTCACAATGGAAATGGTTGCTAATAACTCAGGATTTTCCCCAACTTCACAGCACACAAACACTCTCTCAGGTGATGGGTCTCCTGTCAGCTTCCTCTCTTTCCCAGTTTTACTTAAAAGAACCACAGTCTCCTCCTGGTCCTCACCACCAGGGTGAAGCAAAACAAAGCAAAGGAAGAAAAGAAAAACGGCCAGAAGAACGTGGCCGGTATGGAGTTACCACCCAGTTTCCCCAGTTTCTTTCCTCCCAGGGCCCTTCCGGCCAGAAACCCCACTCCAAAGCATGGCAGGGATGGGAGTGGAAATCCTACTATCCTGTATACCCCTTTTGCAGTCAGTGGAAGCGCAAGGCATCTGATCTTTCCTTGAACCACAGCAGGGTGAGCGTGGCCAAGTGCCTGCCAGAGAGACGGTGCTGGGCAAGAGAACGCCTCACTTCCCTCTCAGGCCCAGTGAACTGGAGAGTTACCAAGTGGGGTTTGGAAGACATCTATTTGCTTCAGTCAAGGCAGCTGCCATCACGTTGAAATGTTGTGGCCACCAAAAGAGGATGAGCCAGATCCACAAAGGAATGATGCTATTTTTTTTCTCTCAACAAATAGAGCACAAAGTTAGCTTCTGGCATTCTCGAAACCAGTACCTTTCTTCCTGTTTCACAGAGGAAAAGAAACATCTAAAGTAGGGATGGCAAAAGTGCCTATTTCAGGGTTGGTGACTGCTCTTGGTGACTTCTCTCCCAGGGAAGACTCCTGAGCAGGGAGACCAAGATGACTCAGGGTCCCACTGGACTTTGGACCCAGTCTGGGATCACCCAGACCTTCTATGAAAGACTTGAGTCCTTATAAGTCACACCTTTTGATAACTTCCAAATATCAAAGTCCAGTCTCAAAGGACAAAGCTCTGTGAGCAGGGAGGGTTTTTGAAAGAATTTGCTGAAGGTGATTCCAAAAGAGGAGTGTTGTCAAACCTTGAGTCTGACCAAGAACCACAGCAGTCAAAGAAGTAGTTAGTCTCTGCCAGGAATAATTTCGAAGGGCACCACGGTGATTTGGATGTGTAAATTCTGGTGTGTTTGCATTACGATAGGGAAAAAAGGGGCACCTGGGTGGCTTAGTCAGTTAAGTGCCCAGGTCATGATCCCAGGATCCTGGGATAGAGCCCCACATAGGGCTCCCTGACCAATGCGGAGCCCGCTTCTCCCTATCCTTCAGCCCCTCCCCTACCACTCCTGTTCTCTAATAAATCTTTAAAAAAAAAAAAAAATGGGGAAAAAAAACAAACCCAAGGCTCCTAACTTGACACTCACCTTCAACAATAAGGCAGGCAGAAATAAAGCAATGGAAATGCACTCGGGTTTCGAGAGGAAAATTCAACCTCCGTTCAGACAATACATGACTGCTACTTCACCCCGTTCACTTTGATGAAAAAGTGACACTGACTTCCACCATCAAGAATCAGTTGAACAGACAAATTCCTGGGATAACATTTTGTTTGATCTTAATCTACAACGTCTACAAGATCAGAGACAAAAAACCCCCGGGGGGGGCACCAAACCCCTAATATACACCTCCCACCTTCCCACCAATTCTGAAACCCCCCTCCCCCAAACAATCCTGTGTCATAATACAAACACCTCAAGAAAACAAGCCTTGGGAATTTGAATTCCTGGCACCCTAAAGAAAAGACAAACATCAAAATAGGGAAAGAAAAAATCACTCCTTTTTGAACCAGGTTTTATTTAGAACAGATTAAAAAAAACCCTGCATTTCAAAAAGTCAGGCAGTTCCTAGTTAACCGCTGTTAGATATATGGCATTTATTTGTCCCAAATTAAAAAGAAAAAAATCCTAAGAATTCCGAAAACTCACCAAGTTAACACTGTCTGGGGCTGGAAAAATACCTTCCCCAGACAGTTCTTCTAAGAATGTCCCGTAGGGGGCACTAGAGAGGTGTGATTGGGACTGACTTGGGAATCACAGTCATTTCTGGTAAAAGTTCTTTGATGTGAGGAATGTCCCAGCCTGGTACAGTTGGCAAAAGTTCACTCCGGGGAATTTTGTGTGTGTGTGTGTGTGTGTGTGTCTGTCTGTCTGTCTCTTGGGAAAGGGCGGCTGCCGAAGAAGAGAGCTAGCCTGGTATTCCTTGATTCCAGAAAGGAACTGTCCCTCTTGGTTTATTTTCACAAGTTATCTGAGGAACCAACAAATGGCAACCTTGGAAAAGTTCTGGGTCTTGTTTTTGTTTTTTTTTTTTTTGTTTTTTTTTTTTTTTTTTCATTAAAAGGGGGCCCAGCTGATGAAAACAAGTTATGAAATGACCTGTGTTTGTGTAACTGGCTGATTGCGTAATGCTCAGGCCCTGAAACCGTAATAGTTGGGCAGCCAGGCAAGGCATATATCTGGGAGGTGTTTTCCTAGGAAACGCAGAAGAGAGAGAAAACAACAACAATAAACAGAAAATGCCAGGAGGAGGAGGTGTGTCCAACGATTATTGACGAAACAAAATCACCAATGACCAACCTTCGAGATTAAAACTATAACTGGAACAGGAAATATTTTTCATGCTTGGAGTTCCTGCCATATACAAGAAGACTGGTTTCAACACAGAGTTACCTGCCCCCCACCCCTCCGAAGTCCCTGGAACTCATGGCCATGTGTTAAAATCAAGCTTTATTAAACTAGAGAAAAGAAAGTTTTGGTTTGAGTAAACAGCAACAAACTTATCGGGACTATCAGACCCCACAAACAAACAGATGGGGAAAAAAATAATATTCACTGGCCCAAGGGAAAACCAGAGCACCCTCTTTTCTTATACCGACCAGTCCACGGAGACGCTACAAAGGTGGAAGTCCCAGCATAAATGCCAGGAAAGCCGCCCCATAAAGGAAGCTGAGAGAAATAAAGTGATTACAAGTCGTATCTGGTATGTAATAAAGTTACCTTGAGCCCGAGATCGGGTGGGGTCCAGGCGCAGACTTGGGAAATAACAAAAGCCTCTCAAGTCAGTCCCGAGGACCACAGAACAGCTTGGCTCCAAGTTGGAGAGATGATGGAAAAACCTTCCCCCCACCCCATCCCCCGCCTGCCTCCTCCCACCTCCTTCCCTAGGAGTGGACAGGCTGAGAAACTTGTCCAAAGCCGCATTACCTTGCTGATCCCTCTGGTTTGAAAGGCACCTCACTCAAGCTGCTGGGCCAAACAGGCAGGCGTCTATGCGAGAAGCCCGTGCACTAGTTATTACTAATTGCAAAATCCTTGTGTGTTACAGCATGCTAGGAATTAGCCCACAGCTGCTTTTTGCTTCGGTAATGAGGCCCCATTACACCCTGCTGGACTGAGTTCTCTTCCTTCTTCCTAGCACTGGTTTCCTGTCTGATTTTCTTCCAAAACAGGGAATTGCCTCCGCTCACATCCTGGGCTCAAAGCCCTAGTGACACAGATTATTCAATCTGGGCACTGATGTCCGGTCTGACTTCCCATTCGGGCCCCAGGGTCTGAGCAAAGCCAGGCGGCAAGATTGTCGTATTACAGTGGTAAATGCCAGGAAAACGGCAGCAAAAGGGACAGACAAGATATCAAAAGATCTCTTTCAGATTCAGGGAGGAGGAGAAGGACGTTTTGGCAGCTTGCTGAATTGGAAAATAAGGGAATGGGTATAAATGACTCCGACCCGTTGCTTAAGGATATTTGGATTCAATTAAAACCACCAACGGGACTGGAAAGTGAGCAAAAGCACTTTTTAAATAAGATTTAAAACTCATCACCTTGGTGCTCATTATAAAGGGTGCCTCAAATGCTCCCTCAATGCACCGACTAGGTTCTCTATGGTGGGTGCTTGTGGGGGCACCAGGGGAGATACAGAAAAGCCATTCTGGGGACTCACCAAGTACGGGGAACCCCTTCGCAACAAGGTATCCCTCTTCAGATCCCAAAGAGAGATGTCTTTCCATTTTATTTTCTGGCAGGATCCACCCCTCCAGGGGAAGCCCACCCCAGTCCCTCCTGGCTGGCTGGCTTCTAGAGGCCAAGGCCACTGCCTTACCAGGGCAACTCCTGCTGTAGCCAGCTTGCCCAGAGACTCCGCAGATCCTAACCCAGATGGGCTTCGGGTTGTAGTGGCCTTGTTTGCTAAGCCAGCTCCCTCTGAAGCCTGAGGGTGGGGGTGGGGGGCAGCTGCTGCAGAGGGCAGACACCCCACTACCCCACCAGCACCCTTCTGGTATTTACAGACACAGATCGCAGGCACAATCCTTCCAGTGCAAACCAGTCTGGCTGCTTTAGAAACAAGTTGTTTTTCCGCTTCCAGAACCACCCAGGAGCCTAAGCAAGCTCTCTTCTCCCCCCACCCCCCCACTTCTCTCTGCAGGCGTCCTTGCCCCAGGTACCCCTCCCTAGACCCTCAAGGCGCCGTTCTGGTGGCAGTACAGGCTCCTTCTCTGACCCCAACAGGAGATGGATGGGCGCAGGGGCACAAAGATGCAGGGCCCGAGCCTATCAAAGCTGACCTCCTCCTTCCTGACCTTCGCACCCTATTCCCAGAGCGACAACCCTCACCCTCGCTCTGGATTACTTGAAGGAGCCTAACCATGTTTTCAAATCCCTAACCTCTTTCAGAAATTAATACTGATGGAGAGCAGGGGAAGAGAGGGAGAGGGCTCTCCCGCAGGAACGGAGTCCTTGGATGTCGGGAGGGACCAGTGGGTGCAAAGATTTTTCTTTTTTTTCCCACCGCGGAGAAGTGACGGGGGTGGGGAGGAGGGAGGGATTTCTGGGAGAGGAGTTAGGCTCCGGAGAAGGGGAGCTGCAATTCCAGGAGCTTGTCTGGGTAAGATGTAGAGTGAGGGAAAGGGTTTGCCGGCTCTTCAAGCCCACTCCTCGGTCCAATTAAAAAAAAAAAAAAAAAAAAAAGTGTTTGGGGAGAAGGGTGAGCAGGACAACACGAAAATCCAAAACTTGCAATGGTGACCCCGTAGGAATTTTTCTCGCCAAGCCAAAAACGGGAAAAGAAAGCAGAAGAGGCAGTGGCGGCGAGAGGAGGGCCGGGGTCCGCCCGCGCCGCCAGGTGCACCCGGGGCCCGCACCTACCTGCTGGCCGCCGCCGCTGGTGTAGGACTCGGCGTGCGCAGGAGAGCCGCTGCTGCCCCGGGACGAGGTGTCAAAGTTCCCGGGATAATCCTGGTACATGATCCGCGGTGGGGGCCGGAGAGGAAACAGGGTGTTTTTCTTCCCCCGCCCTCGCCGCGGCCGCGCACCGGCTGCTGCGGGCTCGCTCCCTGCGGGCCGCGCCTCGGGCTCTGGTCTTCGCTCCCGGGCTGCTCCCCGACGGTGGCGGGTGCGGACGGGAGGCGGCGACAGCCCAGGAACCGTGCCTCCCGAGCGCCTCGCGCTGCGCTGCTTTCCTGCTCTCCGAGCGCCGCGGGACCGGCTGGCCCCCCAGTCCCTCCCTCTAAAAGTCCGCGCGTCCCTCGGTCCCTCCCCTGCGCGCGCCCTCCCGCTCCCGCGCGCAGCCGGAGCCCAGCCGGGACAGCCGGCCCGATCAAAAACTGAAAATTAAAAAAAAGAAAAGAAAAGAAAAAGAATAAGAGCCCGGCGGATCACGCCTGCCAGGTCCCGGGGCCCCCGATTGTAGACAGGGCAAAGAAAAAAAACAAACCAAAAAAAGGCGAAAAGAAAGGCTGCCCGCCGGGAGAAACTTCTATTTCCTCCTTTTAGAAAAGGAGCTGAGAATAAACTTCCTGTGGCCGACTCGCCGCCGGAGTTTCGGAGCGGCTCGGACACTTGCGGGGAGAAGGTAGCCCGTGCCCGGCCCGCGCGGTTCCAGCCGAGCCGGCGCTGAGAAGGACGCGGCCCCGCTGCCCGTACCGCCGCTGCGGACCCCGACTGCACCCCTTCCCCGGCGCCCGCTCCGGGACGGGCTGCCTCGCCCGGCCGCGCCTCTCTGCCTCTCTCCCCGGCCCGCCGAGCGCCGTTCACTTGCCCGTCGCTTCGCTCGGAGCCCCTGCGCTCTGCCCGAGATGAGTCACTACAATGGCACGAGTTCAACTCCACACTCTTTATTCTCCAGCCCCTGTACCATGTGGATTCACTCACGTCAACCCCAGACTCCACCTTGCAAGGGAGGAGCGCGCGGGGAGGCGGAGGGGGGGAAGAAGGAGGAGGAGGAGGAAGAGGCTCGGGAGGAGGCGGGCGCAGCGCTCCCCTCCGTGCCCCGGCTCCTGGCCGCGCTGACGCCAGTCGCACACCCGGCGCGGGGAAGAAAGGCGGTGGCGGGGCAGGAGCGGACCGCCCGCGCGGCCTGGGGGCGCCGAGGCGGCCCCGGTCCCGGCCCTTCCCCACCCCCGCGCACCCCCGAGCCCAGCGCCCTTGGTCTGTTCCATTGGCGCACGTTGCCAAAGATGGTCATTTGCGTTAGAGGACGCTAGTGCGGGTTCCCTCGCTTTCGGGTGACGTGGAGGGAGAGGGATTCCCTCGCCGGCTCCCGAGCGCGCCGCGGCCTCCCCCCTCCCCTCCACCGCCCTGGGAAGGGGCGCGGGGCGGGGCCCCCGAGTGCGGCCGCGCGGGCCTCGGCGCCGGGTTTTACAAAATAATCACAGCCTGGAGAGCGAGACGGGCGGTCCTGTGCGGCGCCACCGCGAGGCCGGGAGCCGGGCGCGCAGAGCTGCTCTCAGGGAGGGCGCGGCCAAGCGCGATCGTCGGCGCCCTCCGCGGCGCCGCCCTGTGCAGCGGGCGCCCTGGGCGCGCAGGGTACCCGCGCCGCCCTGCGGCCGGCCCAAGGCTGGGCGCGGCGCCGCCGGGCGGGGCCGACCAACCTATTTTTCCCTGCGTGGCTGGCTGCCCATTGCTCCCCCCCCCCCCCCCCGAACCCCCCCCCCCCCTTTTTTTTTTTTTTTTTTCCCGGCCCTACAATTAATTTGTTAGGAGTAACCCTGAAGAAGAAATTAACCAGTCAAGACATTCCGGCCTCCCTGTGTGCGGGACAATTAGGACGCATCTAATAGTAAGCGGACGTTAGAAGCAAACTCGACTGTTAAGAATTAAGAAAAAAAATAAAAGAGAGGAGGAGGGAGGGAGGCAGGCCCGGGAGAGGGTGTGCCCCAACGTTGTCTTCAGCTGTTTTGGAGGGAAGTTCAGGGAGCAAGGAGTCCGGACTCCAGGGTCTTCCCGCCTCGCCTGGTGGGGCGGGGCGAGGTGCGGGTTAAAGAGCACAGACCTCGGAGTACGAACGCCAGACTGTGCTATTTATGAGCTGTGAGACTTTGGGCGAGTCCCTTAACCATTCTGGGCTTCGGTTTCTTCCTGTAAAATGAAGGGGTTGGGAAAGATGACCCTCTAGGGCCCTTGCCAGCTCTGGAACTTCAGTTCTTCTGCAGAGACGACCCGGGAGAGCACTGTACTGGGAGTCAAGGAACTTGGGTCCTGGTCCAGGCACTGCTTTAGTCTCGGTTTACCCAGCTCTTACGAGGCGCCACCTGTACCCCCACAGGGTCCTTGTGAGGACCCGACGCGAAGATGTGTGAAGACCGTGAGCCCTGGTGAAGCGCCGTGCGTTGTAACACGTCACAGATCCGGTCCTCAGTTTCCTTATCTGTAAAGTGGGGGAGTTGCTAGGAAAGAAAAATAGAGCCGGGAACTCAAAGCTTTCCCGGGGCTCTATATAAAGCGCTGGCGTTTCCGGGACGGCTGGCGGCATCTGGCCGCCCCAGCGGCCCTAAGATACGGTAATCCCAAACAATACTCGGGGTCATTGTTTACAGCTATAAAACACATTCTGTCCTGAGCTCCATCCCCAAGGACGCCCGAGGCGAAGCTGGCCAGACCCCTCACACCTCCGCCCGCCGCCCTCCGGGCAGAGTCCCCAACTCTGCGGGCGGGGGAGAGGTGTGCGGCGGGCGGAGGTGCACACCGGCCGCGGGGACTGCGCGGCGGAGGTGGGGGGTGTTGTTTGTTTGTTGTTATTGCCGTTTCATCCCTGAGTCCTGCCTGCCAGGGTGTTTACGCGCCTCTCCCAGCAGGACTGAGTAAATGCAGTTCTTTGACGCAAAACCGATCAGCCCTTTCCCCAGCGGCAGTGGCAAAACCAGAAAACTGGGGGTGGGGACAGTGTCGGGGAGAGCGCAGGAAAAGAAATCGTGACACTTTCTCACTCGCCTCTCCGTCCTCTCCTGCGCCACACGCCCCCCCGCCACACCCCGCAAGGTGCCTTAGCGAGGTCTTGGTGGGGGTTGGGGGGTGTGCTGCAAAGCGAGGTGCGCCCAGGACCCTCCCGGGGGCAGCTGCGTGCTGAAGCGGCGCGAACAGAGGCACTTTTGGTTTCCCTTGGAGCACCAGCGGCTGCCTGGCCCTCCCCCACCCCGCGCTCGAAAATCCGGGTGCTTCTGGGTCTCTCCCACACAGTCCTTCCAGTAATGCTGGGGGGAAAGGAGGAGGGGGAAAGGGAGCGGGAGCTTCCTCCGCGGCCTCCGCCGTCCCGGGCGCGCCCAGGCCCCCGCCGGCGCCGCCGGGAGCGCGCGGGCGGGCGAGCGCACCCTCTCGCCCTCGCCCGCCCCCGCCCTCCCTGCTCCCCGGCCCTTTCCTTTCTTGTGGGTTCCCGTAAAGCCCAGCAGCACCGAGACGTCTGCAGAGCATCACGGAATCTGTGCTGATGCAAGTCGCTAGCCTCCCTTTGGTGCGCCCGGCCTGTCTCGGAGCGCTTTGATCCCGGTCTTCTCCAGCTCCAGAACTTGGGCTGGTTTGCTCTGCCCGTCCGGA